TATAGACTATGTTTGTTGCAAATCGGAGTCGCAGGGATCCAGTGGATGAAGCCTTGGTCTAGCAGTATGAGTCTTCCGGCTGATGATGATGATAAATCCAACTCGCGTTCTAAATTGTGTTCTAGATGTGGTCATAATCCGTTCAATATGTTTTGTGTTTGTTTACAAACGTTTCACATTCACAATTTTGAATTTATGAAATAATGGTCTCATGTAAGTACCTACTTTCACATCTTAGAAGTGAAACTATTTAACTATTATTTCATATAAAATGTCAAAACGTCTTCGCCTTTTATCTAGCATAATATTCTACGTGCAAACTGCACCCCCAATTGCGAGCATTTTCCCGACCATTTCGTGCCAAATCCAAATGTTGATAGCGCTATCTACATTTACCTTCTTTATACGAAAGAAACCATTTATTTGGACATAATATACGTAGGTACTGGGACGATACTGAAGAGTTATAGTTCACATAAAAATAAACTACGAGTTACATCGTATGATATAAAAGAACTATTTTTATTTACCATTTACTAATGCTGGATGGAGTGAAAACTTATTTGATGAAATTAAAGCTGAATCTATCGAATGATATTCGAGTATACGCCAAACGCAGTGCTTCGTTTGGAGAGCGAGTAATCGATCTACGCGAGGTAAAGATTGAATCCATCACGCCAATTTATGCCCGGTGGCGAAAGTAAAGTGCAGTTCAATTTATTGAAATTAAATTGATAAGTATCATTTTGCGTTTTGACATAGTCAGTAATACTTTCGTCACAGTTAATTGGTACCGCCAACCAGACTAGCAAGTTGAATCATATTTAGTACATAGCAGCTAGGTACATGCATAAGTCTATTCCACTCCAGTAAACACAGTCGGCGTTGTCTCTTTGAAGCAATATCTAAGTATATCTGTAGCTAGAAGTATATTATAATGGAGTTAGTATAGTATTAATATAGTACATGGTCGGAACATTCGCAGCCGTCGCAAGTGTTCATACCCGCTGCGTACATAAAAATATAATCGTGGTGCGAGTGTATCCGAGACAAGATACAACACGGATGTGGAGAAGTTATATTTTATTTATGATGTGGGCTGTAAAGTATACTTCTTCGCCGGACGAGCGGGATAAGCAGAACTAAACATAAGTAAATATAGAGCCGCTGCGTATAACTTCAACTTTGAAAACTTATGAGCGAGTTCATCACTTAGGTTAAATTATTATTACCTTTACAACGAGTCATATACATATAGCATGGCAGAGCCATTAATATCCTATAATAAACTTCAATTTACTATAACACAGTTAAAGGTCCACATGCAGAAAGTATTAATTATCTGTTGAATATCTTAAATACCCAGTCAATTGACCTATTTATTTTCATCAGAGCTATTTTTTCTTTTAAAGTACCTAGGTTCGAGATATAACGTCATCGCTGAACGAAATTACGCCGCCGGCAAACTGAACGCTGGCTAGCAAATCAAACTAGCTACGCCGAGTTCAGTTGGCTTTTTTGCAGCTTTACTTTATTCATGCAAAGCCCAGCAAAATATTGTGAAAACATAAAGGCGGATCAGTATGCAACGGACGAAAAATACTGCAAAAAATCTGTATATACTTAACATCAAATATTTATTTATATATATTTCCTCGTGTAAGTTTATTAACTAATTCAAATATATTTTCATAAATATGTAATGAAATAAAACTACATTTATTTTCTAACATTATCATCATTTTCTTAACTGTCTTCAAATTAGAAAGGCTATCTATTCATTAAGGCTTTATGTCTCCTGAGGAATCTTAAATTCCTGAGAAAAAGACGTAAATTGCAAAAAGTTAAACTTTAAGTGAAATAATAGGTAAACTTTGCCATAGCTCAAGCTGCGGAGTGATAAGTTGAAACTTTATATCATATAAAAGTAAATTATTCGATACATATACCTATATATGTTATTTGAGCAATGACCAACTTGTTTGCATTACCCATTTTATAGGCTCATACTAAGTACTACGTAAACAAGTATCGATCGCCTAGTTTGAAGGCATACCGCGGTGTGTCACATGATGAATGCCATTTACATTGATCGAAATTCCTCCGGGTCTTACAAAGCTCTATCGTAACATTTATTTAGTCATATTGAAGCCTAAAATCTCACAACGAGCGAAACAAAAATGTCAAGGTTACACGGATCAAACTTTTCGATATTATACGTCGGCTTTTTCCCCTTTTAAAGGAAAGTCTCATATATAACCCGTAAGGAAGAGGACAATGATAAAAAGCGATAAACGGATCCATATAAGACTGAAAGCCGCGGGTGACAGCTTCTAATGCGATAAATGTAAAGTTTTTATGTGGACTACCGGACCTTACACGAAACAAAAAGGCTATAAAACCATTGTCGTAATACTCAAAAATAAGCATAAGGTGCACTAGGTTTCTTGAAGTAACGTTAGCGTATTAGGAGTCATATGCGATGATAGATCAGTAGTCATAAAATGTCAGAAACGATTTTATTTTATTATTTACTAACGGACCGCCTCTGCTTCGCATAGTTATCCGACTACCCCCGTGTCAGTCATTTGTTTTTCTAGCGAACGGCCACCGGCACCGAAGGATTAGTAATTCCCGCTATTCCCCTTTACTTTTCTAAAGTTTTCTTTCGTAAAAACCAATAACAAAAAGAAATTAGCAAAATTGGTCCCGACGTTGTTGAATTATGCGCTTACTAACACATTTCGCGATTCTTTTTTTATGCTTATATAGATTTTCAATTTATTATTAGGTTTTAGAAATGGTCGGTAATAATAGTTGAATGTATACTCTGAACACAAGCCCCATATTGTGTAAATCATTATAAGTTATAATGATATAATTTATAACCTATCCTAGTTATTCTTATATGTACTCTTTAAACTACTTATCAGAATGATAACGACTAACACCCGGTTTCTGAAAGGCTTGTCAACGCTAAAATTAACTAACCTCCTGTTAAATTTCTTGTCAAGTCATCTGATTGGTTGTTGATAATTCAGTCAACCAATCAGATGACTTGACAAGAGATTAAATTGATTTTAACATTGATCGGCTTTTTGGAAACCAGGTGTAAATCATTTTGAGACAACTATAAGGTTACCTACACAAAGCTTTACCAATAATTCTGCATCCTCGCAACGGAGGAGTTACGCACCAGCCCGCATGTCACAAAATTACTATGGCACATTGCTTTTATAGTAAACTAGCTATTCTCGCGAGGTTTAACCCGCTGCTCGGCTCCATTTGATCGTAGCGTGATGTTTTATATAGCACTCAGGACCATTGTAGCTATCTATCAGTGGAATAAATTTTGGCAATCCGACGGCGACCAGCGGTTCCAAAGATTACCCCCTACATACAAACTTACAAATTTTACCTCTTTATATTATTAGTATAGACTAGCGGACTACCCCTGCTTCGCACCGTTATCAGCACCTATTTCCCCGGAAGCATGCGTCTGAACTTGAAAATTTTGCAAACAAATCACAGTGGTCTATGACCTTCTAACTGCACCAACTGGCACTTTTTGGTGCTATCAGTCTAAAAGAGAGTAAGTGTGTGTGACCACTACTGTTTTGTTCACTTGGTAGCGCTTGGTAGAAGTTGTGAATATTCAGAGATTTGAAATGCTTTATAGCCAAACAAAAATTCTATTATTGTTATAACTATCGTGAGACATACTAAATTTATTAAAAATACGACTTACTCACCTGATTCACTTGAATCTATTAGATCCTGATTCAGGTAATTCTAATTAAAAAAAACCGGCCAAGTGCGAGTCGGGCTCGCGCACAAAGGGTTCCGTAGCAGCAAATATAATAAACTTATTATGTCAATTTATACACCTGGTGAATGGAGCCTAAACTCTCCCGATATTTTGCCTTGTACTTTTATGTATGAATATTAATAATAAGCTAATATTTCTCGTAAAAAGTACCTACATTATAAAGATTTCATATCATCGCGGATTTTTAAAGGTGTACAATACTGTAGTATATTTTTTGATCTATCTTATAAGGTTCAGCCATCGTTTTCAGTGTAAGCACAATAACTTAACCAAAATTACAGTTAAATCAACCTATCTCAAAAACTATAAGAGATAATTTGATCAAACCAAAAATCGTTGAAAGAGTTAATTAGCATGCATCACCTCTATTTTTTTTAGAATTTTATACCCCGTAGTTATAAAAATAGAGGGGGGGGGACATACTTTTTACGACTTTGAGAGCTGATATCTCAAAAACCGTTCACTTTAAGAAAAATGTTTTTTAGAAAACTTTATATCATTTTAAAAGACCTTTCCATTGATACCCCACACGGGTATGTACATCGAAAAAAAAATTTTCATCCCTCAGTTACATGTATGGGGGGCCCCACCCCCAATTCTTTTTTTTACTATTTAGTGTCATAATTTTGTAGCGGTTCATACAACACATATTCCCATCAAATTTCATCACTGTAGTACTTATAGTTTCCGAGTAAATCGGCTGTGACAGACGGACAGACGGACAGACGGACAGACGGACAGACGGACATGACGAAACTATAAGGGTTCCGTTTTTGCCATTTTGGCTACGGAACCCTAAAAAGAGTCGTCCAGCTACATAAGCAGTATCTGGTGGATGTATACTGAATCCCTTATTGGCGAGACATAGTTGTACCATAGTATGTTTTCTAACATTTTACGCTGATCGCTGCCTAGTAACACTGTCATGAATTGGGTAGTTTCCTACGATGAAATATTGAAAATTAAGTATACTTTTATTCATCGATCGATCAATACGCTAAGTTTTAGATTTGTTTTAGCTAATTATTAGGACATAAGTAAGCTATTTGCCGCAAAAATGTTATGACGTCATAACTCAGTTTTTCATACAAATTTCATGGAAAAGTATCGTTTTTGACATTTGGATAAAAGTATCGAATTTGACTAGTTGGAAACTACCGTATTCACTTACCTTGAGCATGGTGAGTATTTTCTGCGAGAGCTCATAATCGAAGTTGGTGTACTTGGAGTCAGTCATGTCGTATATGAAGACGAGGCCGGCTCGCTGCGTCTCCACCGACTGCAGCGCCACGTCCAATTGGTACACCACACCCTGGACAAAACAAAGATTATTTATTACTTCTTTTATCATTATAAACTAGTGCTTGACTGCAGTCCCACCTGATGGAAAGCAGCGATGAAATGATGGTAAACCGCACTTGTTTATTAAGAGCCTATTCACTCTAGTCTTGAAGACACCTAAAATAAATAGTAGGTACATTAAACCATAACAGCTGAATTAATATAAAAGTGATTAAAATAAAGCTGCTAGAGTAGACTAAAGTTGTTGACAGTCAATTAATTTTTAGTACTTATTGATAACAATTGGTAAAATGTTGGTAAATATTCCTTAAATAACTTAACAATATTATTACCGCTAGAAAATTAAAACAACATTTATAGTTATACACATAGTTAAAATCCAATGTCATTATTTTACACATAGATCTTGTGATCTTGAAAAAACTTGAGACACAATTTATTCCTAAGTTTTAAAAAACGAATACTTATTTTCCTAATAAGATGAAGATGACGAAGCATTATTTGTTTTTATGTACACTTTCTCTAATTAACAGCCCGACATCTGCTAACTACTGGAACGAAATATGAACACTTTGAAGATAACGTATTTATTCCGCGACAATTTCAAGGCTAATTTGATGAAGAAGTGAAAGCAAATAATATCAATTTCAACAAAAGCGTCAAATACCAATACAAATGCAATAAATTAGTGACGTTTTTAGAGTTTTGTATTATAACGATCTTAAGACTAATTCCCAAATTCGGTTTTTTACGATATCGGTCGGCAAACGGGCTCACGAATTACCTGATGATAATCAATCGGCAGCGCCTATGGACACCCGCAACAGCAAAGGAGTTATGAGTGCATTGCCGGCCTTTTGAGGATAAGGGTTTGAATATTTAAGGATTGGAAGGGATGGGGAAGGGGGAGGGATTGTGCTTCCGGTAACCTCACTCACACGGCGAAACACAGGCCGGGTTTTTTATGCGGCCGTGGTATCACTCTGGTCGAGCCGATCTATTAGTGCCGAAGCTTCGCTCTCCCAAACCTAATTAGGTTGTACAGTTTAGGCACTTGTGTGTGTGTGTGTGTTTACTCAACTAGTTTCAAGCCAAACAAGTGGCCCATAGTTTAAATTAAATACTATGACAAATCTTGGAACGCTGCCCTTGTCCCATGTGACAATTTCCATCATAATTCGTACAGCAATTTTCGAGATGACACAGAACCATACATGGGAGTATACTTATACACATATGTACTACTTTCTTGTATAGTACTACTACGAGTTTACTGACATGAGGGAGTCACGGAAGACGAGTACTGTAATCTATACGGTGGAGAGTGTAGCATTACCTACATAGTTTTTAAATAAAAATACTTAGTTCTGGAAAACAATGCGGACGGACATTGATATCTTGTGGGTCATGTAAATGACCTGATTTAGGCGCATTCACAGAATAATAAAAAAACTTAATGTTTTGTATGAAAATGTAGTAATAAAATGGTTAATAAATTAATTGACATATTTGTGTGGTTTTATACAGTTTTATGCGCAATTTTACACTGTGTGGTGCAAATAAAGTATAGGCCTGTGATTTACATACTGAACATAAGTTATAAGAACCTTAATTAATTCAAATGTTTCAAAAGTGCCAGCGTCTACATGCCGTAAAATCTCTCCTGTGTTTATAGATATAATAACAGGACAATAATTGAATATTTTTTTATTAGTAACTATCATCACTATCATCATACATACTAAATATATTGAAAATAACAACTTACTGACTTGTTTTAACAAATAAGAGTCCCGTCGTGACTTGAGACTAGTAGAGATTTTCTCAATGAAGTCAAGACAGTAAGTCATTATATTCAATAAAAAAGAATAATATGTATTGTCTTAATATTTCATTTTAAACGAGTCGATTATTTTTTAATGAAACTTCTAAAATATTCGATGAATTTTGTATGAGACAGCAATATGTGAAATATACATCATAATGATGTCGGAAATAGCTTATTTTGGCCGAGAAAACTACCCAATCAAGCAACCACATTAAATGTTTTTTTTTCTTTAAAAATAATCTTTGCCCACACTACGATTTTCTCATGTGTCGTGGGTGAGTTTACAAACATACAATTTCACATACACATCACACCCAGACTCGGAACAACAATCTGTGGATCACACAAAGTGTTGTTCCGTGCGGGAATCGAAACCGCGACACGTTGCGCGGCAGCCAGTTACCCAGCCACCGCGCTCTCATGCAGTCAAACAAAACTTGAAATTATGATCTGATAATATTATACGAGCAACAGCCCTATACCGACGGAAAATATTCATATTTTCTCTAATTACATACTAATAATTTTTCCTCATTAGGTATCGAGTTGAATACTATCAGTATAATGAAATGCGTGTTGGCACCATTTACTGTTTAATATAATTTCAACTATTAATAATTTGATGAGTATGTTTCCAAATATGTTTTACCTGTAATGTTATCTGATGCGTTGTCTGCGTAGGAAAATGTTTGTTTGCGGTGAAAACCGCAATGGCAGCACCGGTCGCATCTCGCGTAGGCTGCAAAGATATAATTCAAACAATTATTTATCTCAATTATTATATCAACCAATAAGACAACTTTAAAAGCCGATTTGGAAGTTATTAACAGTAAAAATGTGTCTCTGGTTTATTATAACTGGTCTATTACATAGCCTCATTTCGGTTTTCCCTATTCTAAATTATTTATAGATAGTCTAAAAGTGACAATTACGGTTAGTACGTTAGGTTTTACCTACGCAACGGATAATTTTACCATCGTATAAATATTTTATCGTTATGCCTTTTATCCCCGAAGGGGTAGGCAGAGGTGCACGTCATAATAACAATTTACGTACAACCAGCTGTCACCTGTTGTGAGACTTAAATAAACATAAAATTATTTAATTTAAAATAGGTAGGAAGTATTCGATTATTTTAGCATTATTTTAATTTGAACTAAGATTATAACATAAAGTTGGTCTTTTTTTATACTACGCTTAAATAAAACATGTAACTGGATTGTTCGGATGTAAATATCTGGATTTGCAAGTAATATTTATTGAAAGATCGCTTACCAGTATAGTAAATTTCCCTGTTTCTAGTTCAGACTTGAGTGGATCTTCAAATGGCTCGAATTTGTTAAGGCCTTCGCGGCGTCGCGTGGCTTCGTGTTGTCGCCACAAAGCGTGCGCACGCGCCACATCAAACTTGCGCGCAAGCAAGAATTTGATCGCAGTGGCTCGAGACACACACGCCGCCCCCGATTCGCTCAATGCGTCCAAAAACGCCTTAGTCGCCTGGAAATACATCATTTTATTGATAAAAACATTAAAGGGCTAAAACAGAATAACAACGATTTTGAAAAACATAGTAGGTTACATCTAAAAATAAGTAGGTAAGTATGGAATTTCTATTTACTTTACTTCATGTCTAGGCGTAATTACATTTATTTTAATACACTACCTACTTAATATTTCTATTGGATATATTACGTTACATATAATATGAAAATTATACAATGTACCCGTAGGAACTTAAGGAAGCTCTGGATGATCGCCTCCTCCCATTTGGATCTTCTACGGTATTGATTCATTCTTACTTTTACGCCCAGTTGTTATTTGTTAAATAGCACTCGAGTTTCACCATTTTGTCACACTTTCATTTTGACAACTTTTAAAGTCTCGACTTGGGGCGAAACTAGCTCGTCCAATCGAACTGAATTAAAGGTAGCTTTAATTCATTTTGTATGAAATGATATTAACTGTAGATTTAACATCATTTCATACAAAGTACAAGATGTCGTTCCGAGAGAATACCAAAGAACAATCAGGAGCTTGTAATAATTAAAAAAAAATTGTAAATATTGTCCATCAAGTCATACGACTAAGAAAACAAATTGTGTATCTGGTAAAGATCTCGGTTACACCCTGAATCATTTTAATCAAGATTATAGCAGCACTATACAATCTGAATGTCGGGTTCTATTTTAGTTTAGTAGTATGTCAAGAGAAGACCGGATTAATTAGAACGTGCATGGTACAAGTGTGAAGCGTACGTCGGATACGAGAGGCAATAGAGGGACACTCGAGCCCTAAGCGGATGGGATGCGACGCGAGTGCGCGACCGTTGCATATGTATATCGATGCAAATAAGACGGGTACAACGCGGCGGGTTAATTCTTCCGGGAAGTATTTCCTGTGCGGGCGCGGATGAACCCGGGCCCCAACATTAGTATGAGTGGGCACGCTCCACACATATCACAACTTTGGAGCCGTTTTACATTACGTCACTACCACAGCACACGATACACTTATTGGTAACTCACACGCTCGTTCAACTACAACCGTAACGCGTTCTCTATATTGTACAACTTTTTTTAGTTATGTGATTACTTAATATCTCAATACTTAAGCAATTTGAATTGAATATAAACTAGTGCACACTGAAACAAAGTTTATAAGTAAGTATATGGTCCGGTCCATAATAATCTCTCGGTTCAGCAATATAGGTGATATTCTAGTATTTACATTCTACACTCTAACCTTATTAGTTACCTATCCTACCATAATAAATGAATCATATGTATATTCATAATACAATAAATATTTCTTAATCCCACTATGTGAATATTAAGACTTCCTCAATTACTCAATTGGAGTTTGGGGAGAGCCAGTTACATTAAAAAAACGCTGTACAACAAACACTGGGGTTCACAACACATAAATTAATATTAATTTATTGAACCATAATAAGTAAAAATAAAAATATGTTCCACACTGATATTTATCCTCACAATTGTTATTTGTTACACACTCGTTGACTATGTGCTAGTATTACGTGCGGATCGCGTAACAAATATTAAAACAATGCCTATAACGTAGGATCGCACGCACGATCGCACGAAGGCAGAGCCGACTTGCAACTGTCAAACCGACTAAAGGTAATTGAATGGAATGAATATGCACACTACCCGGGCCAATAGAACACAAACGTCAGTGTAATATTACGTGAAGCCTAAAAAATTGAGTAAGTCTAGAATTATATTTATTACAAAATACTGCGTCAAAACACTAAAAAAAAACAAAATTGTAAGTCACCGAACCGATCCTTTTTTACGAAATCTGTCCGGTAATTTTTGAGTTTACATAGGTACAAACAAACAAACGCGGAAGCTTACTTTTTTTGTAATATTTTTTATGTAGGCAAGTAAAGATTATACACAATTCATTTATTTGTGGCTTCAACCACAGAAAAATGTGCACAAGGTGGACTTAAAGCTTGAGCATTCTCTGCCAGTCTAACTTTTGGGGTATGCAGAGAAGACCGAATGCATATGCAAAACGCTGAAAATTTGTTATTTTGTCAGATGTAGCTGATTGGTTTTTCGTTAAAGTATAATCTACGAACATTGTATTGCGAATACAAATACATTGAATACTAAACTTTTCTTTGAAACTTTAGTATATTTTGCTACCAAAATGTTAATCAGATAGAGTTGACTTCTTAAATAGCCACCTTAGTAGCGAAAACTTCAATATAAGCAGGAAGAATCTTAAGGTGTAATAACCTAGAGGTCGTGTACCATTTAAAGGTGGAAAGTGAGAACAAACAAAACAACTAGGTACCTCCCTAGTACTAAATAGCTTCGAAGCGTGGCAAAGTTAAAAGCCATTGTTTACAAAGTACTTTGTTTTTGTGCGTCGAAAGCCATCCATATAATACGGCTTTATAGCGTTAACTTTAACACGGTAATTACATATTTTTTATAATAGAAGATTTCAATGGGATTTTTACTAATCAACCTGACTATAAAACGGCGTATCATTTTGAGCCTTTTTTTCTGTACATATTGCTCGTTCATCACAATGATCAAACGATTGTCCACTCCTCAAATATACATATATATGTATAACTCCATCTATGTCTGCAAATAATGATCATGATCATATTAATGAAGTCTAAAATAATGTTTACCGCCAACTCGTTGCTCTTAATAAAATCGTGTTTCGTGTCATTGTTTCCTATAATGGCAATTCTTAGAGCAACACCTGAACAAACTGTGGATTATACGAGTTTAATGTTAACATAATCTGACGATGTAATTATAATGAACTAGCTTAGTACGAAATCTTTGTTAGTTATTTTGAGGGGGGAAACCATTAAATCACTTTTCTCGGCAAGGGTGAGGTGAATGGAAGTGTCATAGCGACTAGAACCACCCTGTTCATTCTCCTGTAGGCTAGGAGCTATATACCTTTGATAGCTCTATCCCTCTTTCTCGCCCGGAAGATTCACGCTTTAACTCGTCATGGTAGGCCGCGGTACCTTATTGCGCTTACAACCCCGGCTATTTTTGTTAAGTATATGCTGAATAAAACAAATTAAAAATAAAGTTGTATTTAAAGCACAGACAGGCATGTAGGAGATTAAAAATCTGTACATCAAAAAAATTATCCCATTATGCTTTGGTTTTTTGCTTTGACATTGCGCGTGAATGGATAAACCGACTCCGATAATTTATTTGTATTCTTTGTTTGCTCAGTTCAGAAGGAGGTTCTTCTAAAATCAAATTTTATAATTGTAAGGGTTGATTTTTCAATAGTCAGATAAATGTTATCTGAGGAATAAAATGGTTGCTGTCAATGTTTTATAAGTTTTATACAAACATTCTGACGCGAAAGCATTATAATCATTTCCCAGATAACTTGTATCTAACCAAAATCAGCCTTTAATTAGATAATAGGGTAATAGCTTTCCTATTGGTAGGTACTGCAGCGGTTCTGTAGAAAACAAATGACTGACATCGAGGTAGTTAGATATTCATGCGAAGCAGGGACAAGCCACTAGTTTCTCTCTTGACCGGCGTGAGACCACAGCCTCACAGAAAACCGGCGTGAAAGAATTACAGCGTTGTGGTTTACCGTGTGAGTAAGGTTACCGAAGGCCCAATCCTTTCCCTCCTCCAATCCCAAATTCTCCTATCCCTCATCCCCATGAGGTCGGCAACGCACTCGTAATTCCTCTGTTGTTGCGGGTGTCCATGGCGCTAAGCGCTGATTGCTTAACATCAGGTAATCAGTCTGCGTTTGCCGACCAAAACTTGGAATTAATATCGTTGTAATTTATAGAAATGATTTTATTATGAGTCATGCGAAACGAATTCATCATTTTGCTCATTTACATATATGAACATCTCAACTTAAGTACCTAGGCGCACAGACTCGGACTTCGTGTCAATGACACCACAGGGATAAAGGAGATTACAGCTGGACAACGAGTATAGTAACGCTCTAAACCACATCGCAACTGACAACCGGTATGGTTCCTTGAACACATTGTAGCGAATATGGTCTCATCTCTTTGTTATACTATTTTTTTTAAGGAGGGTAATTATTTTCCCAAACTGTTTGTTACAAAAGCAAAGTGATGTCACGGAAAATAAATACCACAGATAATTATTATGGTTTTCCGTTTCTAAACTATAAACTTGTCCTCAAAATAATACATGGAAAATGCAGTGTATATTTAATATAAGTACATTAAGTACCTAAAACCCAACCCGAAAACGGTTTTTTTTGAGTTGAGATTATTATCGAATGTCTTCTCTCTTACTGACTAAGCCGAAGAAAGAACGGGGTAGGGCGCGTTTTTTCTCCTGTTCGAGGCCGCGGTACCTTATTGCTCTTGCCCTGCAAAGTCAGCTGAAGATCGACCCTCTTAGGTCCCATCTGTGGTGCGCGTGAAACGATACGCGCCGTACACTCGAGTCTTGTTCTGGTCAGGCGGTGTGCAACCTTGCCTGCCATCCGCAGACCTGCGCTAACGTTGGCTAATAGCTTGATCCACGTCACTCGGAGTGTAGCATTAGGGGACTGCGGCTGCTGGGGCGTGAGGAGGATAATTCGATCACGCACTCAACCTCCTTCTTTGCCAGCATGACTGGTTTGCAGAAAAAGGAGACGGCTTCCCAGTTCCACTCGCTCCGCACCATGGCCTCAACTAAAGCCAGATGCGAGAGGTCGCGGCCGCAGATCACTTCCCTAAGGGCATAGCGGTGCCCAGCCACTCAGCTGAGTGAGGACGCCATAAGTACAAATGTAGCAAGCACATCGATGGGGACAAGAGCCCGACGGATAATATCACTTATGCGCATTACGTCTACACGACAGGCTGTGGTATCCAAGGCTATTAACAACTTCACCACGACAACAATGAAGCGAGAAAAGAGACTGTTCTGTATGTAGGGAGGCTGCAAGAATGATTGGAAGGGAGGGTTAAAATTCTAAAATCGAAAATAAATAAAATTAAGGATTTTTATTATATTATACTGATTGTGTACTGAGAATGAATGAATCACTGCTCAACATACTGTATGTCGATGATCTAGTCATTATTGCGTCATTGGCGTCCGAGCACTTCTTTTTTTTTGAGGGTGGAATATCATAAAATGACTTTTTTGGCCCTAAACCCGGCCGATTAACGCGCAAGCAGACTATGATCAATTTAGGTTACCTATTAATATGAAAGTCAATGTAAAAGTACTAGACTAGATAAAAACTATATTTGATACTAGAGACGGCAAATGTGAGGGAGATATTATATTGAAAGGAGAGTCAAAGCGGGAAACAGCGTAAATGGTATGTTAGACTCCGTTTTAGCAAGCGAGGTAATATCCATTAAAGCTCGACTTACCACATGACGAGGAGTTTTGGCGAAACGAAAGGAAGTTTTAGTGATTAGGGTTTGGCATAAGAAGTGTGATTTAATTCCGTAGAGATAACAGTCAAAAAATGTAAGTTAAAATGAAAGTAAAATTGACGAATAAAAAAACAGCGAGATGTAGTTACATGACTTAAAATGGAAATTTCTGGTAGTTTGTTTGCTAGAACTTGGAAGATTTACGGAAAAGGGGCGCCCTTTTTTCTGTTAGGGGAAAATCATCAAATGACCTCTCCCGCCCAGGGAAAGCGAGAGAGAGTGTCAGACTCTTACTGACTAACCCCCGTTCCTTCTCCTGCTCTGGGCCCAGGCCGCGGTGACTCATTGCGCTTAACCCGCAACCCCAGCCGAACATCAGCCCTATAGGGCCCCGTTTGTGGTGGTCTATTGGCTCTTTGAGGCACGCACGGAACGCTACGCGCCGTCCGTTTTGGTCTGGATCTAGTCGGGTGGCGAGCAACCCTTACTCGCCGTCCGCAGACCCGCGCTTACGGTGGCCGGAGATTGTCTCTCGGGTAGAGAGCGCCCTAGACTGACAACATTTACCAAATAGTTCGGTAAAAGGTCAACTTAAAAGTCGAATCGACAAGTATGAAAACTATGAAAAGATTGATGAACATATAGAAGAAGCTACAATGGATATACGAATTGTGACATTTGGCGTGTAATGTAATTGTCTCTGTCTACCTGGAGAGGGGCGTCACGATATTGTATACAATGTATGTAATATGTATTTTGTAATAAATAGTAATAATAGGTAATGAGTGAATGTATTTTTTCATGTATTTTTTTTTTTTATAATAATATTATTACTAATTTTTGTTAAGAATAAAGAGCTTATACGCGTCTCTGCTTTATATTTAAACTTACAAGTCAAAACTTTTTTGCTTATGAATTACAAAGTTTTATTAAAATTGGTTGAATGTTGTACACTCTTTCTCACTACTGTTTTATATTTTTATACGAATACAATTGTTATCGCAATGAACCGTTAACTGCAGTTTTGCAACCAACAGAATGTAGGAAGGTAACCTACTTGCGAGTAGGTTCATATTAAACGTTTCGAGTCGACAATATTCAAAATTATGTTCGTATTATTTAATAAGTTTCTTTGTGGACCGTTTGCCTCGTGTCCCTCGTGGATTAGTTAAAATATAGTCGTATGTAATAAACTAATACCCAAACTCATGTAAAACCATAGTTTACACAATAACAAATCTTAGAAAATACACAATTTGTCAGTGAAAATAGCATTTACCTACATGTTATAAACATATCAGAGTCCATGTGACATTTTAAGAGTAACGCAACGAGTCTGGTTCGAAGATGTAACAGAGGCGGAAGTTGGAATCGGTCACCGACCGAGAGATCGATAGCTTATTCTATTTCAGAAGAGTGAATAAATAGCATGTTGCTGAAATGCATAATTAACGAGGTAATTTTTATAATCAAAATGTTCATCTGTAGTCAAAGCATTCTACGTTTGGACTTACGAGACTCTTGCGGGCGACCAAAATCTGTCCTGATGGACGGCTGATGGTTCCCGTAATCGTCAATCGGTGCCACCCATGGACGTAATACCAGAGTAGTTACCAGTGCGTTGCTGGCCTTTTAGAAATTAGAGATAAGAGATTTAAGGATTTTAATAAATTGGAGATGATGGTATCGCTTCGGTCGAGCCGGCCTGTCCACGCCGTAGCCCTCCGACATTTAACAAAATTTCAGGGCGACATTATATGACACAAATGTTTGCTTTAAACTTGCGTCAGAAATTACTTATTTACCTATACACTTTGTTAACTTTTGATCTCAATCTAAATCTAGTCATTGGATTATAAAGGTTGAACCTTGTTTAATTTTGTTATACAACAGTCATATTCCTTGTGACCAGATAATCTTACTTCTCAATCGCCTATTTAATAAAATAAAATTAACAAAAAGTAGGGTAGGGTAGGTAGAGTAGGGAAGATAGTTAAATGACGGGAGAGACGCAGCGGGTAAGAGCTAGTATTTAATAAAATTAAATTAACAACATTTTGACTTTTTTATCTGATAGAGGGAGGTGTATGTTATTAATTTAACTCTTACACCTAGTCACTGAAGAACAGACTGACATAGTAGGTTAACAGGTAGTTAATGGTTGGAATATTTTGACATTGATACCAGTTCTGTTATGAGCCCCGTTTAAAATAGTAGGGCACTGCCATATTCTGGACAAACTTCTAGAAAATGCTGAATTTTTTAAAACTGTATATCACCCTCAGGCTGTATTGAGCTTCATAATTTGACATTTTTTATACCAAATTTTGAGCATTAACCAAGAAACAGCATAAAGCAATGAGTTTATTCCTTACTGAATGTATATTATGTTGACAAATATTACCTAAATACTCTAAAAGTCTGCACAAAATCTAAAGATATCAATACCTACGAGTACCTCTTCTTGGAAAAATAAAATATGACAAGTACTCATCAAATACAATTTAGTGAAATACATGGCTTTCTTATTATTATATAAATATCAATGTTACTATACATTTTTTGGGTTGAAAATCAAAAGTATTATCAAAGAATGTATTAAATATACTAAGAAAATGGGCTTAAAGGTATACTTTGGAAAAGTAACTCTAAAGCCTGTATTTTAAGTTAGTTCCTATAAATAAACTGGGGCGGAAATAGGAGGAGCTACGCATTTATTGTCAATTCATGTTGACTGTCGAGTACCAAGAATCATTTAGAACTTCACAGAATAGTTTATCAACGCATGAAAATGCAGCAAGTTAGTAATTTAATTTAGCTTTTAAAATAAATTTAAGTTTTTTAATGTAATAGGAATGATATTAACCATCAATTAGATGAACAGAAACTTTTAAACTGTAACAACAAGACACGAAGTAATCAAAACAAACATTGGTGACATGGTAAACGAAGCAAGTTTCATCCCACATCCTTTAAGTAAATCTTGGTACAAATCTAATTTTAATGTAACCTGAAAAAATATTTACACTCAAAAGGACCATGTACATGCAAAATAAACATCCTTTTACAATATTATCACAGTAAATTCTTTAAATTACTCACCAACTCTTGATCGGGTGACAGAGCCACCGCCATCTTTGCAATAAACTGACAAAATGACAGCTGTATTTTCATTGCCACAACTAAAAAAAACTATAATATTTAATGATAACGTGTATTTGAGCCTCTACTCAATTATTAGAAAATAGTTTTATGTACTCTTTGAAAATTATTATTATAGTTACTGTGTGGAATGTGACATTAATATAGAATTTTGTCGTGAACTGCTGTAATCTTGGTCTAAAGTAATATTTTGTCAATTTCGCTATTAGTAATTTAGTTTACATAAATTACACTAGTAAAACAATTTCAGTTTCATTTGGAAAGTTAAAACGATACTACTCCGTCTTAGTCTTAACTGTGAAAGGATACTTTAAATAAAATACCTATATAGAAGCAATAGTAGTATATGACTAAATATACAATTATCCAATACTGAAAATTGACTGAGATCAGAGATGTCAAAAAGTTAAAAAACAACTTCAACTTATTTTCAGGTTATAAAACAAACATATTTGTATTTAACATCTAATTATTTTTTAATTAAGCTAGGCATATAAGTATTTTCACCGTTTTCGGACATATAAAATGTCTACACGTTGGTAAGTGCTGTAAATTAACAATAAAAATACATATTCTAATTCATAGGTGCAAGTCAGTGAATAGTTAGTTTAAAACGTGAAAATTGTATAAAATATGTTTCTTCCGCCCCTAAGACTACCCACGGATCTAAATATTTATAAAATGCTAAAAACTTACAAAAGAAACTATTATAAATATTCCAGACAAAATATTAATCAAAACCTAACTTGATTGTTTTGTATTTCAGGTATCCTATTTATCAAAGGGGCAATCCACAGCTAAGAGTTTTTCTTCCTAATTTCTGGATGAAAATTGTGCGTCCTCAGGCAAAACAATTACCCAATGTTGTTCAGTTCCATTGCTCCATGGAAATGACTAAATTTGACATAAAAAATTACTTGGAAAAAATATATCATATCCCTGTAGTTGATGTAAGAACCAAAATAGCATTAGGGAAATTCCGACGTGATGCAGGTAAAGGATATGTAATCAAAGATGATGATGTTAAGACAGCTTATGTTGTATTGGTAAGTAGATGCAAGATAAAATTTAACTATTGTGCTGAAATAAGAAGTGCACAGATTATGCAATTACAACTTTACATAATATAATAAATATCCTTTTTGTATTTTCTACTTAAGTTTTATTTTGTAATTTATGGATGTCTTTTCTTTTAGCCAAAAGATATGAAATTTGAATATCCCGACATATTTGCCAATAAAAAGGATGATGCAGAAGAGGAACAGAAAGCTTTGGGTGATGCTAAGAAAAACTTCCAAAACTATATTGACCGCAACAAACACAGGACAGATGTTCCCAGCTGGTTCACTATATGAACATTTGTGTGTAAATTAGTATTGTGTTTATGTAGATGTAATTAGCACTTAATAAATGTTCTTTAATGTTTTCCCAAATTTATTACTTTTAATTTATTGTCAGTATATAATGATATTCCTATGTAAAATGATGTGATTATATCAAAGATTGATATATAGCAGATAGCAGTGTAAATAATATGTCAATTTTATGCCTTTTGTAAACATTTATTCATATAATTGAATTTATGAGTACAAAACCTTGGTTCAAACTAAACCAAACAAGAAATGTTGAAAGAAAAATAATTAAAAAAAGATATGAAGAAGCTTCAACATTTGCTACTACAAACATTGTCTCATTAATTATTAACATTGCTCAGCAACTCTCAAATGTATATTTACTAAAAAACTGGCAATCAATACCATAAATCAACTTAATAACAACATTTTATTCATTTAAATCCATATTTAAATGATATAAAACTGAAATTCTTAACATAATGTATCATACAAAGTAATATAGTAAGTTGCAATAAACAATTAACTTTATCACAAGACATTAAATCAATAATGTTCTAGATAATAAAATAATGCTTAATGCAACAACATTGTTTATTTAATAACTAACATTGATATTAATTATTCTCTTTTAAAAACAAAGTCATCATAGGTTTCCGGAATACTCATCCAAAAACATAGAAGAATGGCAACGTGGACATTCTCCTATATCCAAAAGGAAAGTTACCTGAAATGAAATGATTACACAGATTAAACTTCTTAAATAGGGTCAAAGCTGACAATTGAAAATCATATCTAAATAAGATCAATATTACATATATATATAATGTACATGTATATATTATACATAAAATGTTTCTGCTTTCTCATGTACAACAAGTATATTGTGGGAAATGTTAAATTTATTGAAAGTAATGGTTTATATACTCAATGGTGTATAATCTCATGAATTAATTGAGAAAAGCTATAATAAGTCACGACAGGGCTTTCGTTTTACTAACAGCCAATATGGTTATTAACCCAATTGATAATATGTATTAATCACACTGAATTGTGGCTGTATAATTTACTGTTACAGTTAAGTACCTGTATAGTCTTTTAGTGTTTTGTCAACAACACTCACTGAAGGTAAACAAAAGGTGTTTGATAGGATAGATACTAGAATACATTATACTACCATAAAACTGAATAGAATTTGAGGGTTGAATATATACATGAAAGGGCATAGATGTTGGTGAATTTTCCTAGTATCTACTTATCACCTCTTTTCTGTGTCTATTCACCCCTCGCATTCTATTCACCTCGTTTTACCATTACCCAACGTAACTGAAATCTCATAATCAGATAACTGGAAAGATGGGATTAATTAGAATTAGTGCACTTGTAACATATGGTTCGATTATCTCGTATATCATAACAGATAAACGAATCATAATTATGTTACTTCAAACCAGGGTAGGTACTACACTTGAAAAAAAAATCTTACCCGAGGATGCACTTCACATTTTATACGTATTCTTCCATTACAATAGTAGCCACAAGATCTGCAGAAAACAATAGTTTTGTCTCTCTTGCAAGAACATTTTTTGGAATATACATCTTTTACTTCTGGTACACCGCGTCCCAGGCGGTTCGGAATTTTGTAAGCTTTTCCTGCAGCCGAAGCCACAACCGGCGTAGCTTGAGACTTGGTATTCATCTTTTATATTTTATAATGTAATTTAAGAACAATTTATTAGAATCTCAGATTTGCAAAGCTTTTTTAGAGTGCACGACTTTTCAAAATATTTCGCGGGTATCAAAGAGTATGTAACCACTACGTTTAAGAGACGGGACTCCCATACAAGCCAGTGGAATCAATTTACACGGCACTCTAATACCTACATTGCAATAAATAAAAGATGTCAGCCGTCAAAATCAATAGTACCAACCTAAAAGACCAAATAGTTCTGTGGTAGCTGTATACTAGGTTTAGTATCGATATCGATAATAATTATAGGGTAGAAATCGAGGTCATATTACTTTTTTAATTTTTAGTTTCGATCTTTAAGATAAAGTTCGGATTTGAAATAAAACATTGTGTTATATTAAAAACTAAAAAATATATTTTTGTAATAATATTCAAATTCATATTATATACGGACGGTGTGTTAAGGACCTAACTAAAATTATTTAAATTAAGTGGACTCTATACTTAATACATATATTGGTTCAGTAAATTGGTTCTATGGGCACATACACTAAATCTTCTTTGCCAACAACTTTCACCCACTGCCGGCACCTGAAAAATGGAAAAATTCTAAATGGACAGTCCCTGACGAATACAGTATACATAAATTTTTATCTACGTTTAATCATTAATTTCTTAAAATCTACTGGGTTTGTCGTGTCACAACTTTGTTCAACAACATCTAATAACATCATTACTTCTTTGGTGTGGTCTGGAAAGTAAATCACGAAAGAATAAATAAATCAAGGGATCTTTGGAGTTTAGCCCACACATAAGTCTGTGACTATCGATACTTGAGGTACATCACTAGTACACAATAAGTACATGAAAATCAATTTACATGTATTTGTAGCCTTTTATACTTAGAATTAAATAAAATTATATCATTTAATGCTTACCGGTCCTCATCCAAAGGAAATTTCGCCATAAACATCCTTTTCTCGCCATTTTTACGACCGGATCGTCCTCCGCAGATTTCACAAGTTAGAAACCGTTTTTTTGGTGGCATTTTACTTGAACACGTAACTAGTCACAGCCGTATCACTAACCACTAATTAACTAAACAAATTATACGTAAATTTATGAAATTATGAAAATAACAACATAAACTTACAAAAGCAACGACATTCAAAGTTCAAAACTTCAAACAAAATGGCCGACGGATTAGTGAAAGAAAGAGAACTGTAATGAGGGAGTGGGATGGCAATATCCGGCTACTTCCGTGTGCCATTATTTGCCGTGCCAAGCCCATACATTTTTATTTTTCTTCTAAGTTGCGCTAGGCTGGCGGGTATCAGCATAAATGCTGTGTAGGCGGAGGCAGAGACAAATTGAATCCTCTTCCTACATCATTTTGACAAAGATGTCATATTTTTGACATAATACTTACTTGAAAATACTTTATAAAAAAAAAACAAAAATAATAAAACATGATTGAAGTTCTAAAATGCTAGCATTATTTACCAAAAAGTTACCATACTCACTTTAAAGCACATTATACATTGTAATTGTAATGCTATCCTGTTAGGAAAAAAATTCAAACATATTAGTAAGCTCAATTTGCTAAGTCTTTCACGGGTCGTTAGGTTCGATTTTGAACGGTAGAGTGAAATTGATTCAGCAGAGACATCGATCAGGATGTGCCCGTGGTCGGAGTCACACTATAACTGGAAGCCAGAGTACGTCTCCACTTACCTACTTACTACATGACACGACAGTCGACGACGTCTAAACTTACTCAGGAATTTTTGGAACAAAGTGAAAGTCTTGTTTAGAGAGAAGTAAATGATCAACCGGAACAAACTCTATAAACCGTGTTTACGCAACTGCAAACTGCAAACCTAAGGTATGAAGGTATGGCAGTGTAGAAGAGAATATTTGATCAAGAGTCAAGTCCGCCACCATTAGGTATAAGTGAAAACTCAGTCCCGCCCAGGGATCTGATCTCTTATAACTGTCTGAGTTTTCAATTACCTATAACTTATAAGGAGCCCTTAGCTCGAAAGGTACTCACAGTATTTAATAGACTTCAACAAATGTCTAAAGGTATTTGATAGCATTAGTTTAGTAAGTAAAGTACTTAATACTTAATACCACCTAGGTACTGGTTGTCGTAGTAGCCCGGAGGCAAAGAGAATACACGTACACCACTTGTAGTATAGTGGTTATATCATCATTGCCCGGAGGTTTAGGCGCCCACTAGTACTCATGCACAAGGGTGCGGGATTGCGGGATCAAAAAGTGGCAAGTACAGTACCGCCAACGTGTCTTGGCGAGTCTGGAGTTAGCCGTTTGTCTGCGCAATAGATCTTTTAGGAACAAAATTGTGTACTGCGCAGCTAATCGGCTAACTTCAGACTCGAGAAGATACGACGGCCGTATAGTACCAATGTAACTTTTTCCGAGTAGTAAGTAGATAATACGTACATATACTTAGTACGTATTATCTACTTATACTTAATTATTTAGACGCCACGGACAAACGGTGAAGAAAAAAATTGTTAGGAAACCTGAACTTATTATTTCTAATTATCCGCCTCGAGTAAGCGTTTCAACGAATGCTCAAACCTTCTCCGTGTGAGAAGAGGCCTTTGCTCAGCAGTGGTCACTTATATGGTGATGATGTGACTACATACTAAGGTTCACCTAATAAACCTGTTACTAATAAATTGCTTAGCAATACCAGCAGATGTTAAAAGGATAGATAGAGATCTTAAAAACGCTTGCATGTTTCTTTTTGTACGTACCCAATGCAAATAACTTAGTAATTATGTTAATTGCTATAGGATTGACTTCGGGAATGTGGCCCTAAGATGTTCGTGAAGCACAATTACCTTTATCACAGCAATAACAATCAACATATTTAATTATTATCACCCGCGTATATCTCACCTCACAGGAAGTAATTGTATTGTTTGTCAAAGGTTTCCGTTAACAAACTATCATGCAATCTATGTCGAGTGTGTATAAAAATGTGTCTTAGGTGTGAGACGTCAATAGTAGTGACCAGTAAAGATGAACAGCTTGTTTTATTTAATGGTCTTTGCTATTTGCCTTGCGGCAAATTGTGGATTGACATTCGCCGTGCCTGTACAATCTGAAGCACAAAAATATGTAGTAAGCAACCCTCTTCATTCATCTCACCGGGTGAGTACTGACCTCCGATCTATCACTCCGAATTATTTTACAGCTTGTCGTATTATTCTAATTTATGTGTACCTAGTTCTGTGTCTTAACATTTTATTTGTAGGTCTTAACATTTTATACGTTTGAATTATTAATAATTATTATTATTAACGCCAACACATGTATCTCATAGGCCAAGATTGACCACTGTGATGTCTATTTTATAATATCTACCTACTTATAATAATCTTATGATTGCATGGGGTACGGAGCAGCTGGGCAATTGGCTGCCGTGCAACGTGTCGTGGGTTCGATCCCGCACGAAACAATACTTCCATACCATTCCGTGTGATCCACAAATTGTTGGTCTCGGTCTGGGTGTCATCATGTGATTTTATGAGTAGGTAAGTAAACGCACCCACGACCCAAGAGAAAATCTTAGATAGATAAAATATTTTAGATAGACCAACATGTTTCGCTCCCATAGCCGCACGCAAATTAAGTACTTCAAACTGTTTTTGTGATAAATAAGGTTCATTAAACGGTACAATGTTACATTACACATATTCAAACAATATCTTGATAGATATTGTGAATAGAATACCTAATTGACAATGAGACATCAATTGTATTGATGCTAATAAACTTTATTTGCAGATTGTTCGAGAAGCCCGCCCTAACCCGTCGCTAATGATTTTGAGAGAGTCAATGTTTGCGGACAGTTTTTCACGGCGAAAGAGAGAAGCTAAAGGTGGAGGTTCTATGCCGACGAGAAAAGGATAAATTCACTAAGGGTGTCACCGGTACCTTAAGATTATTATATATCCACACGACATAAACGAGACTTTAACAATATTTATAAGCGGTTAACCTTATGGTTGGTTATTGTACCTAGTTGCTTTTCTACGTAAAATAAATTGATGGCAAATAAAAATCTGAAATAACGTAGTTATTTTTACTAAATCTTTTATTCTGTTCTTACCAATCACGGGACCACAGGGTCCCAGTCTATTAGATGGCGTACGAGGGGCCGGAGCCAAATGCGCAGTACTTTAATCTCAAAGAAATTGGACACAAACCGCTGTATGCACTATGAAAGTGAACAGAAGGACAGTCCCCGGCTAGTGTAGGACTATTGCGGATAATAGAAACATACAGATACATGTAAAAATGGCAGGCGGAGACTCGTCAACTCACCGACCGGGCCCCCGGGAATCGTCATCATCAACCGGATATCGTCCTTTGGTGAACAAAGGCCTCCCCCTTAGCCCTTCACGTCGAACAACAAGTTGCCACCTGCATCCATTAGCTCCCCGCGACTCTGATGATGTCATCGGTCCACCTAGCGGGAAGGCCTCCCGCCCATACTACGTTCCGTTTCCGGTCCTTGGTCGCCACTCTAGCACTTTTCGGGAGATTGCAGATTTTACGAGATATGTCGGTGACGCGAACTTCTACATTTCGGAATTTATAGCTCAAAGAGACCCCGAGCATAGCCCGCTCCATCGCGCGCTGAGCGACGCGAAATTTACCAAGAAGGCCAGAAGTTAAGGACCACGTCTCAGTACCATACGTCATCACCGGCAACACACGCTGGTTAAACATCCTGGTCTTCAGGCACTGTGGGATTTTTGATGAGAAGACATCGTGTAACTTCCCGAACGCCGCCCATCCAAGTTGGATTCTTTAGGCGACCTCTTTCTCGAAGTTGGACCTACCTAGCTGAAATAGTTACTTGTTTGTCAGTAATAGCAACAGAGGAACATAGCCCCGGGAATAATTGTTAGTAATAGCAATAGGCACAACGGAAATGTTAGTGGCTGAAGGGTGTAAAACTGCCACCAGCTTTCTACTCAGATCATCTCCATCTGCCTAAGCATCCTGCATCACTGGCCCGCTCTGCACTTACGAACAGCTTCTACCCTTCGAGCAAGATCACTACTCTC